TTGGGAATAGTCGTATTGACTCTGATAAATGGACTCCCAAATTCCGGACTACCGACTCGTCTCTTAAGCGCAGCCCCTGCCTCCCCCACCAGCCCTGCCCCCCACCAGCCCTGCCCCCACCACCAGTCCTGCCCCCCCCCAAGCCCTGCCCCCTACCAGCCCTACACCCCCAGCCCTGCCCCCCCGCAGCCCTGCCTCCCCAGCCCTGCCGCCCCGAGCCCTGCCCCCCACCGCCCCGCACCCCCTGCCAGCCTACACCCCCAGCCCTCCCAGCCCTGCACCCCCCCACCCCTGCCCCCCCCCTTGCCCCCGCCCAGCCCTGCCCCCAGCACTACCCTCCCAGCCCTGCCCCCCCAGCCCTGCCCGCACCCAGCTCTGCCCACCCCGCCAGCTCTGCCCTCCCCAGCCCTGCCCCCAGCCCTGCCCCCCACAGTCCTTCCCCCCCGCAGCCTGCCCCCAGCCCTGCCCCCCCACCAGCACGGCCGTACCCCACCAGCCTTCGCCCCCCCCCCAACCCTGCCCCCCCCCCCGCCCTGCCACACGCCCACCAGCCCTGCCGCCCCCACCAGCCCTGCCCCCACACCAGCCCTGCACCCACACCAGCCCTACCCCCCCACCAGCCCAGCCCTGCCCCCCTGCCAGCCCTACACCCCCCAGCCCTGCCCTCCCCTTCCCCCCGGCTCGGCCTCAGGATCCGCCATTGTTAAGCTCTGAGACGCCGCCCGGCCTGGAGCGCACTGTACAAATTCAAGTTGTTGTTATTGTTGTTGAGCTCAAACTTCCCAACGTTGGGCTTGAAATTACATCTTTCTGACTCAGAGGCTACATCACTGCCAACTGAGCCAGGCTGACACACATGGACTGAGCCAGGCTGACACACATGGACTGAGCCAGGCTGACACACAGCGACTGAGCCAGGCTGACACACAGCGACTGAGCCAGGCTGACACACAGCGACTGAGCCAGGCTGACACACATGGACTGAGCCAGGCTGACACACAGCGACTGAGCCAGGCTGACACACAGCGACTGAGCCAGGCTGACACACAGCGACTGAGCCAGGCTGACACACGCGACTGAGCCAGGCTGACACACAGCGACTGAGCCAGGCTGACACACAGCGACTGAGCCAGGCTGACACACAGCGACTGAGCCAGGCTGACACACAGCGACTGAGCCAGGCTGACACACAGCGACTGAGCCAGGCTGACACACAGCGACTGAGCCAGGCTGACACACAGTGACTGAGACTGGCTGACACACGGTAACTGAGCCAGGCTGTGACACTAACACTGTATCTCTCACAGCTCATGCGCTGCCCATGTTCCGGGAGCCCAGACAGAAAAGTACCAGGAAACAGCTGGAAAAGGACCGTTTGGATCCCATCAAATCCCACAAGCCCGAACCCCCCGTCTCCGGCCCAGGTAATGCAGCCCCGCCGCCCCCATCACACACTCCCCCGCCATCACACACTCACCCCCCGCTCCCCAACACACACTCTCCGCCCCCCCCACCCCGTCACACACTCCCCCACCAACACACACTCCCCCACCCCCAACACATACTCTTCCCCACCCCCCGTCACATACTCCCCACCATCACACATTCCCCCCCACACACTCCCACCCCCCCCGTCACTACCCCCACCCCCCCGTCACACACTCCCCTGCAACACATAATAATAATAATAATAATAATAATAATAATAATAATCCTTGCATTTGATATAGCGCTTTTCACGTCGGGAGGACGTCCCAAAGCGCTTCACAGAACACACTGTAAAGTGAATTGACTGTATATTTGTGGGCGAACGCGGCAGCCAATTGCGCACAGCAATGTCCCACAAACAGTCGTAGATTGAAAATGACCAATTTTTATTTTGTTTGGTTTTGGAGGATTATTATTAGGCTCTGTGTGGAGTAAGGAAACTTGCCCGAGGTTTGGCCCTCTGCCTGGAATTGAACTCAGGTCTCTCACTTGCAAAGCGAGTGCTCTAACCACTGAGCTACAGGACTCCACATACTCCACACCCCCGTCACACCCTCTCCACCACCCAACACACACTCCCCTTCCCCCCCTTCCCCCCAACCCTGTCACACAACTCTGCCCCCCGTCACATACTCCTCTTGCCCCCATCACTCCCTCCCCCCCCTGCATCACACACTCACGCCCCCAACACACACTCAATGTGTGAGTGAGTGTGTGTTTGTGCGTGGGGGAGTGTGTGTGTGTGCGCGCGTGGAGGGAGTGCGTGGGGGGAGTGTGTACGCGTGTGTATGTGTGTGGTGGGGAGTATGCGGGGGGAGTGTGTTGGGGAGTGCGCAGGGGGAAGTGCGCAGGTGAGAGTGCAAGGGGAGTGTGCGTGGGGCGTGTGTGCGGGGGGAGTGTGTGTGCGGGGGGAGTGTGTGTGCGGGGGGAGTGTGTGTGCGGGGGGAGTGTGTGCGCGGGGGGAGTGTGTGCGCGGGGGGAGTGTGTGCGCGGGGGAGTGTGTGCGGAGGAAGTGTGTGTGGGGGGAATGTGTGTACGGGGGGGAATGTGTGTGGGAGGAGTACTGGGGGAAGTGTGTGTGCGGGAGGGTGCGTGGGGGGAGTGGCGAGGTTCAGGGGCAGAGCTGAGCGGGTGGTCTCACTGACCCCGGTGTGTGCTGCAGGCCGGGGCGGTCGAGTCGGGACACACGGTGGGACTTTGTCGTCATTTATTGTGAAGAACATCGCGCTGGACAAAACGGACGACAGTAACCCCCGAGCGGCCATCTTACGCCACGCCAAGGAGGCCGCGGAGAACCCCTACTGGGTGGCCCCCGCCTACGTCAGGTACAGGGGAGGGGGGAGCGTGGGGGTCAGTGGAGCAGGCGGGGGTGCCTGGGTGGGGGAGGGCAGGGGAGCGGGCGGGGGTGCATGGGGGGGCAGGGGAGCCGGCGGGGGTACATGGGGGGGGCAGGGGAGCGGGCGGGGGTCCTGGGGGGTGCAGGAGAGCGGGCGGGGGGCCTGGGGGGTGCAGGGAGGCGGGCTGGGGGGTGCAGGGGAGCGGGTGGGGGTGCTGGGGTGCTGGGGGCTGGGGAGCCGTGGGGCGGGTCAGCACTAACCTGGCCCCTGACACCGGCTCTCGCTGACTCTCTTCTCTCCCGGGGACGGGACAGGACGCAGCCAAACGCAGTGTTTGCGGAGCCGGAGCCGGAGGAAGACGAAGGTGAAGATGAGCCTCAGTGGAAGAAGCGTAAAGTCTGAAGCTGGACGGGGCTCAGGGGGAGGGGCTTGGGGGAGCGGGGAGGGGAAGGAGGGAGGGAGGGGAGTGAAAGGGAACGAGAGGTGGTGGGGGAGGCGAGGGGTGAAGGGAAGAGTGTATTGGAGGGCGAGGGGTGGAGGAGAGAGCAGTGTATTGGGGGTTAGGGGGGAGAGCAGTGTATTGGGGAGCGAGGGGTGGGGGAAGAGCAGTGTATTGGGGGGCGAGGGCTGGGGGTAGAGCAGAGTATGGGGGGGGTGAGGTGTGGGGGGGAGAGCAGAGTATTGGGGGGCGAGGGCTGGGGGAGAGCAAGTATTGGGGGCGAGGGCTGGGGGAGAGCAGAGTATTGGGGGGCGAGGGCTGGGGGAGAGCAGAGTATTGGGGGGCGAGGGCTGGGGGAGAGCAGAGTATTGGGGGAGTTGGGATAATGTGTAAAAATAAACCTTTTACTTTATATATTGTGGTTGTTCTGGGATGTGGACGAAGGAAGAGAGTTTTGCTCCCGAAAGCTCGGATTGTGGGCCTGTGGGGGGCTTATGGGGCTGTGGGGGTCACGGTCTGAGGCAGTCAGTGGGTCGGCAGCGAGTGCCACTATCAGCCAACACAGGATTCCTCGCAGCAACTCTCAGAGGCCACTGACCTCCACAGAGGATCGACGGTCACTCGGTTCACTCCTGTCGCTCGCCTCGCAAGCGAGACACTGGGCTGCACTCCCGGCAGGTGAAACGCTGGGCAAGTTTCCTTACCCCCACACACACAGACACACACACAGACACAGACACCCACACACAGACATACACAGTCATACACACACAGACACACACACAGACACACACACAGACACAGACACACAACGCACACAGACACACACACACACACACTGACACACACACACACAGACTACACACACACACACACACACACACACAGACACACACATACAGACACACACAACAGACACACACACAGACAGACACACACACACAGACACACGCAGACACACACAGACAGACACACACACACACACACAGACACACACACAAACACACACACTGACACACACACAGACACACACCCACACACAGACAGACACACACAGACACACAGACAGACACACACACACAGACACACATCGCACACACACACACACACACAGACAGACACACACACACACATACACACACGCTTCTGTTTATCCAGCAGTCAGTAGGAACCCGCTTGTTAGTTGATTGGCGGATCGCTTTACGGGGGTAATAATCCCTTCAAAATAATAATAACTTGACCACTCGATCCACGACTGTTTGTGGACACTGCTGGGCGCAATTGGCTGCCTTGTTTCACCTCAAAAATACAGTCACTACACTTTACAAAGTATCCTGTGAAATGCTTTGAGGTATCTTCTAAGACATAAGGGAGTTGTTGGGGGTGGGGTGGCTTTGGAGGAGAGGGGCTTGTTTGAGGGGTTGTTGGGGGAGGGGCTTGTTGGGGGCAGTTTGGGGGGGAGGGGGTTTATACTCTTCAGAGCAGAGGGGTTAGACAGTGATAGAGGTATTTAAAATAATAACATGTTTGTTTCTGACCTGGAAATGTCCCCGTCAGGAATGGAGTGTTCGCTCTCTCCTCGAAGGGAGGCAACAATCTTCTTACCTAATTCCAAACAGGATTAGGCACAGATTGACAAGTGCCAAGGCTTGCGGTCCCCCGAGTGTGTGTTGGGGGTAATTTACACAGAAAGTACAGCATGGAAACAGGCCATTTAGCCCATCCAGGAGAGTCTTGTAGTCAGTGGTTAGAGCACTCGCTTCGCAAGTGAGCGAGAGATCTGGGTTGGATTCCCGGTCAGGGTGAAACATTGGGCAAGTTTCCTTACTCCACACACACATCTCTGTTTACCAGCAGGAAAGTAGGAACTCGCTTATTAGTTGATTGGTGGATCGCTTTTCCAGGAGTAATAATCCCTTAAAAGAAATACACTCAATCCACAACTATTTGTGGAACACTGTTGTGCGCAATTGGCTGCCGCATTTCGCACACAAAATACTGTGTACAGTCAATTCACTTCATAGTCTGTGAAGCGCTTTGAGACGTCTCGAAGATGTGAAAAGGCACTGTATTAAATTCAAAGAATATTATAATATTATCCAATTTTGACTGTTTATTACCCAACACAGCACCCTTCATGCCAGACGTTGTCTCAGAGTCTCCACCCTTTCCATACTCGCTCCCAAACCCTACTATTCCCCTTGCCCTAAGGTGACGGTCTAACTGCTGGAGTCTAACCAGGTAAAATCACATAGTTTGCCATTGATATCACTGTCTGGCAAGCTTTCCTGTTGCTTGTCCAGCTAGGATCACCCTCACCTGTTGGGGCTTTGGCTTTGGTTAACAGAAGCTGAGTGGGAGGTTAGTCATGTATCAAATGTAATACCCAGTGACGGTGTAGCGATTACTCCACTTGACACCTGGAGTGTGAGATGCCCTTCTGTGTCAGGGAGTGGAGACAGAGGCCATTGTAGCCTTCAAGAGGGAAGTGGACAAATGCATGAAAGAGAAGAGGTGTTGGGATAGGGCGTGCGGTGGGATTGATGCAATATCTTTGTTCTGGGAGCCTGCGCAGACTTAATGGGCCGATTGGCCTCAATCTGTGATTTTTATTATTTATTTGATTCTGTTTATATGATCTGTCCCTCCAAATCCTGGGGCTGAGCCAGGCTGTCTACTGTCAACAGCAGTGCCCGGGAATACTGAGGCCCCACCTGGCTCAGAGAGCGTCACAGAGGGTGGACTGGAGTCCAAAACTCAGTTACCAACAATGTCACTTTGGATCCAGTTCAGCTCCAGACACTCCGCTCCCAGCAGCCAAGGCCAAACCAGATGGACAGAGACTTGGCTGTGCAGGATTAAGGGGCTAGGATGGAAGGGTGGGGCATTGGGATTAAAAGAGACTGAATTAAAAGATCCTTTCAACAGTCAAAGCAAACCCTCATTAATCAACAGATAGAGAGGCCACCTTAGGTCAGGGTGCCTGTGCGTAGATAGAGCCAACCACACGCTGACGTCACTCTGGCACTAAACCGCTTTCTGACAGCTCTTCCTGGCTCTGGTGTAAAGCTTTTGGTTGGGAAATAGTCACCCTGTTACACTGACTGACAAATAGGCCGGCTGGTCACGGTGATGGGTTTGTGTGTGCATCACAGAGTGCTCGGTGACCACCTGATGGTGAGGGGTTACCTCTGCACATGGAACGGGGCTCGCAGACAGGTTTAAACTGTTTTAAGTGGCAAAAAAAACTGTTTGTTGTGCGACTGAAAAAGAGAAGGGAGTTTCCTGGCAATTAATTCCCCTGAATAAAATTGATTGTTCACGTGATGGTTTTTGTGCTGCGATGCTGTGAGCACGTTGATGTCACTGTGACAGGTTTTTGACAATAAAACCCAATGGAAGGATAATGATTATTATTACTAAGCCACGTAACTGTGTCTGAGCTGATCCAGGCTACGTCCAACGCACAATGTAGGAGTTGGACCCGGTGTGTGTGTTGCTCTGTAATTGGAGGAAATTACTCTGAAATCACGTCTATATTGAGCTCCTGTGTATTCAGAGAATCGACATGACCCATTGGCCCAGAGTGTGTGTTGGGGTAACTGCTGGAGTCTCACCGGCTAAACCACACAATATACAGTCAATTCACTTTACAGCATATTCTGTGAAGCGCTTTGAGATGTCTGGAAGGCACAATAAGACCCCTATCAAATGCAAGGATTATTGTTATTTATTATAGCTCGGCCATTGATATCACTGTCGGCAGCTTTCCCGTTGCTTGTCCGGCTCGGACCCCCTCCCCGTTAGTTAGGGCTTTGGCTGTGGGGTTAACAGGAGCTGAGGGGGAGGATTCCCTGCCTTCAGTGACTGGTCGGCCCTTCCAGGTCCTGCTGCTGAGCCGGGCCGGACCCTGGATACTGCGGCCCCTCCTGGCTCAGGAACCGGACTAGAGACCGGCACAGATGGGGGGCTCAATTCCCACATTCCATTGCTAAACCCGTCACCTTGGGGCCAATTCAAATTATACAGTCAGTTCACTTTACAGTGTATCCTGTGAAGCGGTTTGAGACGTCTTAAAGACATGACAAGGAGTTATATCAATCGCAAGCTGATTATTTTATTATAAGTGTGATTGTATGTGTGATTGTACATGTGTGTAATGTGTGTGTGATTGTGCGTGTAGTTATATGTGTGTGATTGTATATGGTTGTGTGTGAGTGTAGAGTCCTGTATATCTGTGGAGCGCTTTGAGAGACTGGAAGACGTGAAAAGCGCTATATCAAAATGTAAGGATTATTATTATAGTGTGATTGTGTGTGTGTAATTATGTGTGTGTCTGATTGTATGTGGTTGTGTGTGATTGTATGTGGTAACAAACAAGTCCCTTCACAATCCATGACCTGACCTCGAGGAAAACATTGACATCCTCGCTCTCACAGAAATCTGGGTCACGCCAGGCGACACCTTCCCACTAGTTGAGGCCACACCTCCGGGTTATACCTTTCACCAAACCTCACGGCCTAATTGCTGTGGCAGTGTTGTGGCTCTCATCTCCCGGTCCCCCCTCGGCCTTTCCCCTTCTCCGGAACCTTCCCCTTCTTTGTACACCTTACCCTCTACCACCCCTCCGGGCTTTCCCTCAAAATCCTCCTTGTTTACCGACCCCCTCAAGCCTTCCCCCACCTTCCTCTCGGACAGTTCAGGTTCAGTTCCCGCCCCACTAAAAACAGCCGTCATCACCCCCATCTTGAAAAAACTTTCCCTGGACCCATCCCTCCTCTCCAGCTACTGCCCCATCTCTAACCTCCCATTCCTCTCCAAGATTCTGGAACGAGTCATTGTATCCCAGCTCTGCTCCTTTCTCTTTCGCTATTCCCTCTTTGACCCCCTCCAATCCGGCTTCCGCGCTGCCCACAGCATGGAAACAGTCCTGGTCACAGTCACTAATGACATTCTGAACATCTGTAATCAGGGCTCCCTCTGCCTCC